TCAGCAACTCAGCAAGGTCCTGAGCAACTAAGCAAGACTGTCATATATGTATGTGTGTGTGTGTGTGTGTGTGTGTGTGTGTATTCATGTTCTAATAAGTGATTTTCCTATTAGTTTTACTTTTCATTGTCTCCTGTGTTAGCTAAATTTCATTTTTTAAATACTAGATATATATTTTATAGGCTTTCATAGTTTCTATTGTCTTTAGTTCTTTACTAATATTTGCATTTGTTTGGTCCACTGGTGTGTGTGTGTGTGTGTGTGTGTGTGTGAGAGAGAGAGAGAGACAGACAGACAGACAGACAGACAGACAGAGACAGAGAGAGAGATATTAGTGAATTAAGAGATTCACTTGTAGGAAGAATTCTTTATAAATTTTTGGTATCTTGTGCCCTGGATTTTTGACATTGTCCTATACAATTGTTTATCTTCCAGGTGGGGCTCTGGAATACTAGTAATGGTGTTAGTTTGTAGTAGTATGAGGAAAAATATCAAAAATTATAAATCACAGAGTGGCTTTGATTTGTGTTGCTCTAATTGCTAGCAATGATGAATATTTTTTTTTCATATATTTGTTGATTTTGTATATCATCTTCTGAGAAGTGTCTATTCAGGTCCTTGACCCATTTATTGATTGGGTTATGTTTTTTTGTTGCTTAGATTTTTGAGTTCTTTATATACCTCTTTATATACCTATCTGATGTGTGAGGGTCAAGATTTGCTCCCAAGATGTAGGCTCTCTATTCACCTCAGTAAAATAAATACCAGATAAATACAGATTGTCCCTTTTGCCAAGAAGAAACTTTTTAGTTTGATTCCATTTATTTATTGATTCTTGATTTTAATTCTTGCACCAAAGGAGTCTCATTAAGGAAGTTGGGGCCTAATCCCACATGGTGGAGATTAGGGTCTACTTTTTCTTCTATTAGATGCAGGGTCTCTGGTTTTATTTCCAAGTCTTTCATCCATTTTGAGTTGGGTTTTGTGCCTGGTGAGAAATAGGGGTTTAGTTTCATTTTGTTGCATATGGATTTCCAGTTTTCCCAGCACCATTTGCTGAAGAGGCTATCTTTTCTCCAATGCATGTTTTTGGCCCCTTTGTCTAATATAAGATAATTGTAATTTTTTTCATCTCACTTCAGTCAGAATGGCAGCTATTATGAAGACAAACAACAATAAGTGTTGGTGAGGATGTGGGGAAAAAGGTACACTCATATCATACATTACTGGTGGGACTGCAAACTGGTGCAGCTAATATGGAAATCAGTATGGAGATTTCTTGGAAAATTGGGAATGGAACCACCATTCGACCCATCTATCCCTTTCCTCAGTCTATACATAAAGGACTTAAAAACAGCACACTACAGGGACACAACAATCAAATCAAAATCAATGTTTATAGCAGCACAATTCACAATAGATATACTTTGGAACCAACCTAGATGCTCTTCAATAGATGAATGGATTAAAAATGTGGCATATATGCACAATGAAATATTACTCAGCAATAAAAGAGAATGAAATCATGGCATTTTCAGGTAAATGGATGTAGTTAGAGAAGGTAATGCAAGGTGAAGTTAGCCAATCCCGAAAAACCAAATGCTGGATGTTTTCTTTGATTTAAAGAGGCTGATTCATAGTGGGATAGGGAGAGGGAGCATAGGAGGAATAGATGAACTCTAGATAGGGCAGAGGGGTTGGAGGGGAAGGGAGGGGGCATGGGGTTAAAAATGATGTTGGAATGTATTGATCATTATTATCCAAAGTACATGTATGAAGATATGAATTGGTATGAATATACTTTGTATACAACCAGAAAAAAATACAAATCACATATTTTGAGCTTTTACAATTATCCATAAATAGTTCTGTACTGTACTTACATTAATGAATTTGATCCCCACAAAGGCCTTGTGTATATAAACACTATTTTCCAAWTTTTATGGGTGAAAGAACTGAGGGAAAGAAACAGATTGCATACAGACATTCAGCAAGGGCATGGAGGARTCAGAATTAGGACCCCAGTTTGGCTTCAGCACATGCTAACTGCTGTGGTACCCTTCCTGTTACCAAGCAGATAGATCCTTCTCCTGCTTTCTTTACTTGGATGCATGCTCAGGGGTTTCGTATTCCATATACCACAGAGACTGGGCAACAAATACATCTTTACTTTCCCTGGGATAGTAGCTAAAGTTTTCTGGTATATTTTTAACACTGAACAGTCTTGCAAAGCTGCTGGATGCAAGCAGGGACATGGATTACAGCTTCCCAACCTGTCAAGCATCCACTCTAGGTCAGAGGGACATTAAGACACTGAGCCATGGGTCTTGGTCTAATATATTCTGGGCCTGCTCAAGTGTCCAAAAACTGCTCATGGTTAAAGGGAATTTTAATTTCCCTTTTCATTTTTAGCATCTGGGTATATGCCTTCTTCTCTTTCTTTCTTAATATTCATTACTTTCTTTTCTTCTTCCTTTTTTGAAGTTTGGCTATGTATCTGAACKTTTGTTTGGGGATTTATCCTAGTCATCATTTCACTATTTTCTGTCCTTCTAGTCAGAAGCTGGAGCTTCCTCATCGTAATAGGTCAACATTTGTGGGGCAAACTTCACATTTAAATGAAGACATTAATCTTCCCCATATGAAAATAAACCAGAATAAAAAGGTTAAGAAAGAGCATCTACAAAAACAGTAAGAAAATATATTTAATCAAAGAAATAATTGATATTGTAGATGTAATGATATTACCAATATGATTGTAAGGAAGGCAGAGTAAAAATGATTCCTAAATTAGAGTACAAAGTGTTTAGAATAACTCTAACAATAAAAAACTAGAAAACTGAACTGTGTTCCAATTGACTTAAACTAAATTATTGTTCTATTTTATTTAAAATTTTACATGTGTGACCTTCTTCACAACCCGGGAGACCTTTAACACACCTCTATCTCCTTTG